TAGATTTGACTAGCTAACAAAATATTACGAGTTGAATGAATGTGAATGATTTCTCATCACTCATCCATATCGATCAATCAGTAGTATGTACCATCAGGTGGGTGATGATCAGGATAGCTTCGTGTGTGCTTTAGGAAGTGAGTCGGCACTGTGGAAGTTGACTGTTTTTTCTTGAGATGTCTGAGACGGAAAGAGAATTAGTGTTGCACGACCACAACACAGAGTCCAGACTACATGAGGCCAGTCACACACGGTCTGTTTGAATCGGTTTTTACAGTTGTCTCAGTACTTTCAGAACTTACTGCCGGCTACGGACCACCGTAGGGTATGTACAATTTTCTGGGATGACCTCTTCTAACCCCCATCCACCCCAAAGTGAAGAGCATAGCTGAATTGCTGTTACACTCCCATTTGCCAACAGTACGACTTCGCTACCAAATTCTCAGGATAGTGATAGCGCCTTACACTAACAGTTATCCAAACAACAATCAGCATAAATGGGAGGAGTTTGAAAGAAGCAACCTCCTTTACCTACCTACCTACCTGTCCGGGAAGCATCATTTCAAATACAGGCGGACGGAACTGATGAGGATATCAAAGCGAGGATCGGAAAAGCAAGGCAAGTCTGTGTGGAGATCAACAGCACTCAGCATCAAAAATAACATCCGGATTTTCAACTTCAATGTGAAGTCAGTGCTACTTCACACGGATCAGAGACTTGGCGCGTCACGAGGAGCACCTCAAACAAACTACACACCATCATCAACAGCTGTCTTCGCTCAAAACTACTCAATATCAGATGGCTGGCCAGAAAAGATCAGCAACAGGGATCTCTGGCAATGAACGAACCAACCCAGCAGGAACCAATTGTTCAACAAATAGGCAGGAAGAAATGATGGTGGATTGGCTGACCATACTCTGAGAAAATAAACCACCAAGTGACATCACTAGACAACCCCTCGAGTGGAACCCGAACGGGAAGCGGCGAGTTGGTCGTCCAACAGTAACTTCGAGGTCATGTGAAGAGGAGATGAAAGCATGTTAGCAGACATGTGGAGCCAGGTGAAAACGTTAGCAGAGGTGTGAAAGCAATGGAGACGTGCGACTGAAGCCCTATGTTCCTATAGGAATTAAAGGAAACAATAGTAATAATAAACGACCTTTCTGGAATGATAGTGTAGCTTGCTGGGCCATTGAGATAGGCGCTCTCGACCACCACACATCAAGGTGGCAGCTATCAGTCAGGCAAAACATAACACAATTAAGATGTTAGACGCATAATAAGACAAGAGAAAAGTGAAGTTTGAAAGTAACCTGAACAAAGATTCCTATTGATCGGTATAAAACCCCATACACAGTAGATATATACCACATACATACATCCAAATTTTCCTGTAACAAAATGATTGATTGTGTCACAGATGAAAGAAACCACTACATAGATCAATAAACAACAGAAGAATAAAGACTACAAACACCATCATACACCAAGTGTAATAAACAAACGACTATTCTCTTATTTATCGAAACAAGGACAATATGTATTATTGATTATATTGATCAATAACTAATAAAGTCACAACAGAATGATGAATAAACAGTTAAACAGGACAGATGATCATTAATTAATTAATTGATCTGGATTATTTTTTTTTTGTTGATCTAATATCCACAATACTTACTATCATAGTGTCAGGAGGTGTGTATTTCCTGGTAATTGGTTATGTTGAATGGAAATGTCAGGCCTCTGTTGACAGACATGTCGGCGCCTAGTATGTTCAAAGATTGGTGGATGGTGATATATAGAGTAGTGGAAATTAGGATGCGCGTTTCATTTCATTCTATTTGGGACTCATCAACTGAATGAATCCAGCACTCATCCGTCGTTTCAAACACCAAAGTGTTGTCCATTAGGCTCAAATATCTAAACTGAAGTGGGTGAACCAGCCGGCTATGCCTGTTTAAATTTGACTAGTGACTAGTGGGATTCACCAGTTTAGCAGTGAAGGCAGTTACTCGTCAATGACGGCAGATAGTGATGGCGCCATATAGTGAATCAAAAGACTAGGATTTATTATTATTATTATTGAATCCTTTAATTCCTAGAGGAACATAGGGTTTCAGCCGCACGTCTCTATGTCGCGTTCGGTTCTCTGCCGACGTTTCCACCTGGCTCCACGTCTGTGTGTATGTGACATTAAGCATAAATCATCCACTCGCGAAATCCAGATCTTATAGAATCTTCTTATCAACGGGGGAGAAATTTGAAGGAGGTCACTGCCTACACTTGTCTAGGCATCATTGTTTCAACTATAGGCAATCGGCATAGGATGAGGAAGTCAAAATGAGTCAGGATCGGAAAGGCAAGACAACCGCATATCATCACTCTGAAATCAGTGAGGAAATGTGCTGCACTGAGTGTAAATAACAAAATTCGGATTTTCAACAACCACTTCTATATAACTCAGAAACTTAGCGCGTCACATGAAACATTTCTAACAGGCTATTCCCCAGACTTTTATCAACAGCTGCCCACTTTGCTGGCTCTATACTAACGATTAGATGGTCAGAAAAAATTAGAAACAAAGATTCCTAGGAAAGAACCGATCAAGAACCTACTGCTCGACAAATATGTCAAAGAAAACAGAGATGGATCAAACATACACACTGAGGAGACTGTCGAATGATATCGCGCGCCAGGCTATCGCTCGAGTGGAACTTGAATGGGAAACGACGAGTTGAGCGGTTTCAGAGGGTGACATAGTAAAAGATCATGTGAGGAGGAAGAGAAGATGAAAGCCTATGAGTATTCGTAGGGCCAGCTAAAGCGGACTGCAAAGAACAAGAGAGTATCACACTATGATGAAGAATTTGCTCAATGCTACCAAGGTATGTGAAATGTAGATTCCTTGCTAAACTCTCACTAATCATCAAAGCGAAAATGTTCCACCAGTCAGTGAATATTTTTCTGTATAAAACCATACATTGCGAACACAGCTTACTTAACTGATAAGCAAGTGTATCCTATACCCAAACCATATCATCTGAGGCTTTTATATATATATATATATATATATATATATATATATATATATTGCATGGAGGATTTAATCATGAGTTGACATCAGTTAGAGAACCACTGGAAAACCTGGGAGTACTGGACAGCCGTTTCGTCCTAGTTTGGGGCTCCTCAGCAGTACGCACCCATCGGGATTCGAACCCAGGACCTTCTGGTTACAAGGCGAGCTCGTAGACCATTGAGCCACTGGGACCCGATCCAATGGTCCTTGAATTCTAACTTCTGCCAGTTCACGACATAGCGCGACCACTTCGCAATGTCTTCTTCGATGAGTTGCTGCCTCATCTTCGACCTGCTGTACCCTACTGGTCACGGCAATCAAACAAAATCCCTACAAAAAACCAATACTTGAAAATATATATATATTACAATAAAACTAACTCTACACAAACTGCATCGGTGTTTCAGTGGTGGAATGCTCGCGGCAACCACGAACGTAGCTCGGGGTTCGACTCACCCAGTCGACACACCCTAAACCTTGCGTAGTTAGCAGTAAACCCGGTAAATGGGGTAGGTTGGGCATGAGTGGCTGAGGCTAGCAATTCCACCTCTTGAAATAAGAAAAACAACAGTAGCATATCAGTTGAGTCGTTCCCTTGGGTTCCTAGTGGAACATAGGGCGGCTTCAACTCCACGTCTCCACTTGCCACTTCTGTCTGTCTTCTGCTGTATTTTTCACCTGCATCCATGTTAGTCCGTTTATACTGTTTCAACTCCTGTTCACACCATCTCCTCCATGTCACCCACCCTTGCACTGACGTCCCACTCGCCGATTCCCTTTCGGCCTGTTTCCACTCGATCAATGGCCTGACGCGCGCGCGATGTCACTCAGCGGCCTCCTCATCCGCGAGTATCCAATCAATCCCCAATTTCTCCTGCATATTTGTTGGTTGGCGATTGGTTCTCGTTTTGTTTGTTTGTTCCCATAGTTTCTTGTTGGTGATTGTTTCCGGCCCGGCCATCTGATCTTCAGTATAGATCCAGCGAATACAGCTGTTGATAAAAGTCTGCAACAGGCTGTTGGAAATATTCTTTGTGACCCGCCCAATTTTCTGATCCTTATAGAAGAACTGACTGACTTGACGTTGTTTGTATTGAAAATCCGACCGAATTTTGTTGTTGATATGGATTGATTGACGAAGATTTCCAGATTCATTTCAAGTTGATGTGAATGTGTTTCTCGCTTTCCCAATTCTCGCTCGATTTGACATCCTTGTCCGTTCCCCCTCCTGTAATTGAGACAATACTCGAGTCGTTCATTGCGTCAGTATTATTATACCCAAGCATAAGTCCACTCAGTCATATCAACTGCCGACATAATCATGTCGATAACCGACAGGTTCATAAAAAATTTGGTAGCACAATAGTTATAACAAATCATCGACGGGTATTAATTTCACCTTATTACAATTGTCTCTTTCTATGGATGACCTCAAATCTATTTTACAGCTGCAACAAGCTCAGAATGAAGCAGCTCAACTGGAATTAATAGAACCTCTCACTCAGAAGTTGTCAGTTCAAGTCCCTTTAACATCTCATTCCAGATATAATATAAATATATATATATATATATATGAAAGCATTTCAGATTCTATCAGTGAGTTCAACTGTAATCCAATATCTGGGGTCTCGTATTTCATTCATGGTCCAATCGTCACCAAAAAAGTCTTTCGTATTCAACTAGCCATGTTCGATAATGCTGCGCCCATTACGAAAACTTGGTACTATCAAGCGCAAGAAAGAATCCCCGTGAATTATCTGTCGATGATACAGTCACCCAAATGTTTGGTTGGGGGGGGGGCTCTAGAAAAAAACGGTTCCACAACACAAGATTTTATCCCTAATCTGTTATTTAATCACACAAACCATCGCTTAAAAAAGAAAAATAAGGATAACCTACAGACTAGTGTAGTTAACTCACTTCAAGTCGTTTAATTTCTTTCTCCTCTCTTTCATGTTCCTCTTCTAAGTGTTTCTTTAAAGCACGAAGTTGCTGTTGTTGCTAATAAAAGAATATAAGTGAGACAACATGCAAAAACCAGTATAATACACGTATGTACAGGAGATGTTACAAGAATTATTTAGTTACAACAATGAATAATATAGTATAGATGATTTCACCATGAGCTGACATCAGTTAGAAAACCACTGGAAAACCAGCTAGGAGTACTGGACAGCAGTTTCCCATGAGGTTGAAACAATGCTTTCTAGCCAGATAAGTGAACAAGGCAACCTATGTTAAATCTCTCCCGTTGATGGTGATTGGTGCTTGCTAGTTGTTGTTGCTGTTGTTTGGTTGGTGATCTTAATCAGCCCCATCTTCTCGGTGTTCATTCACCTGCAGTCCTGTTTTCGCTGACTTCTTAATTCATCTACCAATGGTTTATTTTCAATTTAAAATTTGTATTTCCCCCGTCGATTCATGGAAACATCCGGTCTCTGTAGTCATGTCGGCTTTTCCTAGCATAAACGCTTTATTGATGTCTGAAGATTGATATGATGGTATCTTGGTTGATCGCTACTAGCGCTGGAATCCAATATTTGCGTTTCGTCTTATTCAGAACTCGTCATCCGGATGTACCTAGCCTAGAACAACAGAGAAAGAGGTCGGGTGAGAGGCTAGTAACCCGACCTTGTGAGAAAAACAACATTACTGGTACCAAGGTCTCACCGCCTTGACAACCGGCTAAAAAATAACAAACATATCTACACACCTCAGTTAGATTATACACACACACACACACATGAAATGATGACTTACTAATTTATAAAAGTATTCCTCTTCATTACGCGCCTCCAATTTACCAAAGGCACCGCCAGCATCACGAATAGCACCTCCACCACCCCCACCCTTGAAAGTAAAACAGTAAAAAGAAATAAAATCACCTCATATGAGATCATTTATTCAAGCTAAGATTTATTAACTGACTCCTAGTTTAAAGATAGGCAGTCAGTGAAGTGATATAGAGAGAGCAGAGCATTTTGTATCTGTTCCAGAATCCACTTGATTGTTTGCTGAGATGTAAATCTCAGCATGGATAATAAAGCCTGTTGTAGAATTTGTTAGTCTACACTACCACCTCTGTCGTAGACACGATACTCAGCTCTGTCGACCAACCGACGTGTGTACTACTTACACAGCTGTCCCCTGTGTTCTTCTTCATGGATACGAGATGTAGGTATTGGAAGTTGGAGGCAATCGGTCATAGGAAGCCTCACCCGACCTAGGTTTCGTGCTATTTAGCACTCACCAGTCAGTCAGCAAGGCGTATCTGAAACCTTGAAGGAACAACTCATGTCCGTTCTGAGATTCGAACCCACACCACCCAGTGCCGCAGTCAGAGACGTTACCACTGAGCTATTTGCGTTCGCAACTGACCGCCTGTGGGAATATATTGCATACTTCGATTGCACACTATTGAGTAACTAGTGTAATGTGTCTAGTCCTTTCTGTTTGGTGCAGACTGAATTGTATCGGTCAGTCATGTTTGTAATGTGGCTACCATTCATCCTAGGTAGCTCGGCATCACGGTGCACACTGTTTTGACGATATTAGATGGTTGGAGACAATTGGTCACAGGAAACATTGCATGACGCCTAGGTTTCGTGCTAGTTGGCACTCGTCAGCTGACCTGACTGATAGAATTCAGTCTGCACCAAACAAAAAGGACTAGATACATCACACTAGTTAGTTACTAGTGTCCAATCAAAGACTAGTGTCTTTGACCAAAGATGTTCGCCTCCTATCTCTCTAGTGTTAAGTGGCATAATAATAAGCTGAGTAATAGTGAGGCTAGACGAAGAACATTAAGGAAGGAAGGGAAATCAATCGATTGACATAGCGACAGAGTGTGCTGAGCATGCCGAATCACCACCTTCTTCAATCAGCAATGTTAGCTAACATAGGATGGATCAGGTTGGAAAAAGAGCTAGGAGTAGTCAAATGAAACCTTAACATCGAACGACGAAATCGTTAAAAAACTCACACACATTCTCTCGCAACCACTAAACTCCTCATAACTAATTTTCCATGTAACATACATACAAATGACAAAAGACGTTTCATCAGGATATCATCGGTAACTTCGGCGTATTTTTTTTACTCCTTTACGTTCCCAGTGGAATATATAGGGCTTCAAGCTAGAGGCTTCAAGTTTCAATACGGTAGCATGGTGGTTATTTTTACGGGATGAGATTGCTAACTAGACTCATGCTCAACCTTCCCTCTTTACCGCCGTCTTATCACTGGCTTAGTAGGGTAAAGAAGTGCGTCTGCCGGGGATCGAACCCTGGACCACCTGAGTGGTCAGCGAGCACTCTACTGCTGTGTCACCGATGCACCAACTTGAGCGTATGCAAAAGAAAATTACGACATCTTTATTCAGTTAAACAATACACTTTGATATAAATATATAAGTTGTATTTATTTCATCCTTAAATCTATTCGATTCCTATTTATATGATTCGTCTGAAAAACGAATGAGTTAGGGATACTTTACGTTTTAACAGCCTACTGATTATTGTAACGAAGTTTCAAAGTGAGAATTTGCACAAAAGTGTTGTAATACAGGTTGCCACAAAGAATGAATGCATCTGCGCGCTGTTGAGAACAATTTTGAGCCTGAAAACATTGGTTCTTAGTATCTCAAGGACACCAACCAGTCAGGCAGTCTACTGTCTGTCTGTCTGGATTCAACATAGAACTTCGCACCGAAGTGCACCAGTTCGAGTTGCCACGTTCCAAATAGCACACAGAGGTAGACAAGAAGATGAGTGAAGGGAATTAATAGAGTTTGACAAGTATAAGAGTGAAACAGAATGGTTAATGGTAGAAAGGAATATGAAAGATTACAGAGACTGAATACATCTGCGCTGGCCATTGACAACGATTTTGAGCCATGTCACCTATTGTCTCCAGCCATTGATTCCTAGAGTCAGTCCCAAGGGCCCCGACCCGGAAGTCTCCATCTCCCTACCTGACTCAGTTTAACTGTCAAGGATTTCATGGATTGATGAGGCCATGTTTTTGTTTGGCCACCACTGGCTCTTTTCCAACCTGAACCTATATCAGCTAGCAAAGCCCGTCGGGGGAGGCGAAGGTTAGGTATGCGCAGCACGTGACCTAGCCATCTCAATCTGTGTAACTTTATAGCCTCGTCGATTGATTTTCCCTCTTTGCCCAACACTCTACGCCTAACATCAACATTACTTATCTTGTGAAACCACCTAACGTGAGACAGAGATCGCAGACATCTATGATCGAAAGCAGTCAACCTTTTCATGTCTTCAACGCGTATTGGCCATGTTTCAGAGCCATAGAGAAGGACGAGCGAACTGATGAGCAGTACACACGTCCCTTGGTTGATAACCGGATGTCACGCCTACGCCAGAGGTGGTGTAAGTCAGCGAAAGCAGCTCGAGCTTTTCGGATCCGTGCTGAGATTTCATCGCCAATCAGTCCGTTGGTGCTAATACAACTTCCCAAGTAGGTGAAGTGGTCAACATGTTCTATCACTTCACTCCCTATCAGTCTACACCTCCTTAAGTGGTTGGTTCAGACCAACAGTCAAAAACTTTAACGATCGATGTTAGGCTTTGATTTAGCCACACCTAACCCTTTCCCATATTTAATCCTGTGTCAGTTAACATTGCCAAACGACGAAAGTGATGGTCTGCTATGCGTAACACGTATATCCTAAACATCTTTCCCGATGTAACTTCGCAACCGCATTAATTTATTTTCCCTTCTTACCTAAACATTCTACGCCCAATATCACAATATTACTCACCTTATTATACTACCACTTAACACGTGAGATAGAACGCGAACACCTTTGCTGAAAGACAGCTAACCTCTTCAAGTCTCCTACTTTCAACAGTCACGTAACGATTTACAATTGATCCCCTCCATTCAGTACATTTTCAGACAAGGAATTACACACACCGATTCGACTATGTATGTATGTGTGCAGCTTTCTAATGTGTTTACTGGAACAAGAGAAATCTAACCAACTCAAATTGTGCTTAGTGTTATCGAAACAACTTTACAAACGTATAAAAACAGGAAACATCAAATTTAACTGTGATATACGAAAATATTCGCTGAAGTTTGCTCTATGAAATTGTTCACTGTCAGTCGGTTGGCAATAAATGCATCTATCAAAAAGCTAGTCTACTTCAAAACAGGTTTGGCATCACATATCCATCCAGCAAGAGATAGAGCACACAGAGGTGGGAATAAAAAAAATATGACTACTCTCCGTAGTTGGGATAAAAGGAGGCCCCCGAATTTCGGTATTTATCCACAAGAAATTATGATACCATTAGGAGCTGTTCATTTTTTTCTCGGAGTTATTGCTTTAAACAACTTAAGGGCAATGAACAGTGTCGTCGAAATCTTTTAAAACGATCAACTTCCCTAGATAAAGCTAACGAACTGAGGTCCTCTAATAAATATTATTAATTACCAAGTGTCAGTGGTTTGCAGGGATTTGATTGGTTTCAGGAGTGATTACGAACTGACATCACACGGTCAGGGAGCCATTGGGAAACCAGCCAGGAGTACTGGACAGCCATCCGTTTCGTCCTGGTTTGGGACTCTTCGTAGTAAGCACCCACCCACCGAGGTTCGAACCCAGGACCTTCTGGTTACAAGACCATTAAGCCACTGGGACCCGATCCAATGACTAGCCCATGAATTCTAACTTCTGCCAATTCACGGCATAGCGCGACCGCTAGCCAATGTCTCCGGTGAGTATTTGTCCTCACAAGCGACCTGCTTTACCCTACTGGTCACGACCTCCCACTAGAACCCTACCTACCTGAATAGGGCCAGTCGCCAGTGAGCATCTCATCGATATTCAAGTATCGGTTTTGTAGGAATTTGGTTGATTGGTTACAGGATTGGTCATCATGAGCTGACATCGGTTAGAGAACCACTGGAAAACTACTTGGCAGTACTAGGACGAAACAGCTGTCCAGTACTACTCCCAGCCAGTTTTCCAGTGGTTCTCTAACCAATGTCAGCTCATGATGACCAATCCTGTAACCTACCAATCAAATCCCTACAACCTACAAAACAGTACACTTGAATGTTTCGTTTTAATTTTTATCCCAGTGGCTCAATGGTCAACAAGCTTGGTCTCGTAACCTGAAGAGCCTAGGTTCGACCCCCCGTGGTAGGGTCATGTGCTTGCGTACTGTATAGGCTGAAGATCTCCAAACTAGGATGAAACATCTGTCCAGTACTCAACAGTTTCCAATGATTCTCTAACAGATGTCAATCCCTGATGAAGCTTGAAATCAATCGAAGCTCTGCAAACCAAAACTTGAGAACGAAGATGGTTGGAGCTTACAAGTATTTCTTCACCTAGTCCATCACACGTATACAGTATGCTGGCAGAGTTACCACGTGTCTAAAATATAATCTAGTAAGTGATATTTTATCTTACTAAACTAGACTCTATCATAGCACACAGGTTCCACTCAAACATTTACACCGGAAACCAACTTAAATACTGTAACTGAAGTTTACATAAAAACATCAATAACTATCTACACGATATTCAAGAGAACAGGTAGTCTTTTTATGTTTTGGTAAAACATTCCTGGACACTCATATACCTCAAGATATTAGAAACACGTATGTGTGTGTGTGTGTGTAAGTATGCCTAATCAACACACGCCACTTAGATGTCTAAAAGTTGCTCAATTGGCTGTGTACAACAAGAGTAAAGGGGGAATACACCACAGCTTCGTAATCAGAGGTTGACTAACTTCAGAACGCGTAAACTTCGTATAAACTCAGCACTTCTCTACACATATGAAGTCGTGACGACTGAGGCGAATGCAACCTCAGTGTAAAGATTTACATCTAAGCTATTTCTCACCTAGAGTTCCCCCACCCACCCGCAACGTGCGTACGGTCACGTGCTCCTCTCGTGTAAGATGGAGTGATGCTTTATCAGTTCAGGCAGTCGACTTCTAATCACTGGGTCATAGGTTCGAGCTCTACTACACCTGCTGAGGTTTGCGCAGGTGTAGGTATGATTCATTGCTATCTGCATGGATTTGCAATTGGTTGCTGAGCAACATTTTAGTTGTTTGTATGTTTGTTTTCTTTATTTCTTCAGGTCAGAGAATCTACATCTACTCCGTGCACAGTTTAAGGCAACAGTTGGAGAATTCAGGGATTAGTCCTACATCTAACCGAATCTTACTTCCACAAAGATAACACATTCAGGTCGGAGAACAGTAGATATACATAACACATCCCGATCACCTCAGACGAAGTAACACATTAATGACAGAGGTATTTTAAAAAATCAGAAAGGGATTGTTTTTGGCTTTTTGACAACAAAGATGACCAGTAAGTCCATTTTGTCTGGGTCTGATTCCTCCACCCCCATCCAGCTGATGAATTCTTAAACGTCTCCCAACCGACAGTAAGCCGAAAAAGTAAGGAGGTTGGGCACTTGAGGTTAGCAACCGCACCACCTCATAAAAACAACACCAGCACGACTAAAAATTCTAAGCTTAAATCTTCAAGCCGTATGTTCCACTCGGAACACTAGGAAGGAGGAAGTAATTTCATATTAAACCAAACTATCATTTATGTATTAGATCTCAATTAACAAATAAACTATGATGTATGTTACAGGATTTCACCATAAGTTGACACTGGTTAGGGAACCATTGGAAAACCTCAGAGTACTGGACAGCTGTTTCCCCAGTACTAGTTTGGGACTCCTCATCAGTACGCACCACAGGGGTTCAAACCCAGGACTTTATGGTTGCAAGGCGAGCTAGTAGACATTAAGCCACTGGGACCCGATCCAATGGTTCTCTAGCCAATGTCAACTCATGATGTAATCCTGTAACCAGTTAATCAAATCCCTACAAAACAACACTTGAATATCGATGAGATGCTCACTGGCGACTGGCCCTATTCAGGTAGGTAGTTACCTGGGCTGGTTCTAGTGAGAATTCGTGACCAGTAGGGTGCAGCAGGTCGGGTGTGACGACAAATACTCGTCGAAGACATTGGCTAGTGGTCGCGCTATGTCGTGAATTGGCAGAAGTTAGAATTCATGGGCTGGCCATTGGATTGGGTTTCAGTGGCTGATGAATTGTCTACGAGCTCGCTTTCCTTGTAACCGCAAGTCCTGGATTCGAATCTCTGTGGTGGGTGCGTACTGTGAAGAGTTCCAAGCTAGGCTGACGAAACAGCTGGCTATCCAGTACTCCTAGGTTTTCCAATGGTTCTCTAACCAATGTCAGCTCATGATGAAATCCTGTAACCAATCAATCAAATCCATACAAACCAACACTTGAATATTATGTAAGTATCTGAAGAAATGACAACAGCAACAACAACTACGTAATCTGACACCATACTACAAGAAACAGCTTTAGATTCCCTTTCAAATTAAGTACCTAAGGCAGAAATCTAAGATCCATTTAGAAAACTGTTACAGGAAGAAACAATGGTACACCACTTACAATCAGTAAGCTATACGCAATCGAAACCTAATCACACCTATGCACTGAAGTTTAAAAACACACGAAAATATACACACAGCTTTTAAAGACTTCTTTTTTAAATTCTAAGAGATTGGTACACAGAGGAAACTGCACGATGAATGAACATTCCCCCGAAAATGACCTGCTGTGGTTAAGGGGTCACGCGTTCATAGCCTCTCACACAGCGGCCGGGGTGTTCTTCACAAAAGCGAAAGGGCGAATGCTAATGTTTGGTGCTTATCACCAGACTGGTAAACATGCAGGTCTACCTCAAGAGGAGTTAGAAACACCTAATTCCAAACTTATGGTGGTGTACATGAGCTTCAGAATCCGATAGGATCCAACAGCCTATGAAGTTGTTTTCATTACCGTCAACCATGGGAACACAGTCCCTAACGCTAGCTAGTTCAATGCTGTGTAGATCAAACTTCAAGTCAAAAGCTCGAAGACGAGTGGCTCCTTAGGACAACCACTTGCTTCAGCCTGGAAGTCCAAGCACTACCCTAACCCTTGCGCAAACCACGAGATTTTCTGTTGGCGCGCGCATCTCTTGGTACCCCCCCCCCTTAAATGTACCAGGTTTATGTTCTAATCAAATACAATAGAATAACAAATGCATATATTACAAATAATAATGCTCATATCAAACCTCTTTCTCTCCCACACACATAACAATAGAGGGACAAAAATCGGCAGAAGTCGAGGTACACAACTAAGTAAATCGGCGGAAGGGGGGGCGGGTCAGGGAATACTTTAAAGGAATTTACAAAACATTTGATTATCACAAAAAGATAATAAGAAACAAAAGAAAATAAATCAAAACCACTACTACTACTCCTCCTACAGCAACAACAACTTGCATAAATGCATAATAAATGATGAACACCAACAAACAGACAAACACAAAAGCAAAATCAACACTATTTTAAGCACCTTGCCTGCACCTCGACCAAATTCATCACCAGGATACAGACGAAAACATCTGAAATATAAGCAAAAATGTAGCATAGTAGTAGTAGTAGTCTGTCAACTCTTAGTAGTGCTTTCATCAGATTGTTTATGCGGTAAATGACAAGGTTTTTCAGCATAGCCTAAACCATGTGTAATATACCGTGATGCAACAAACAAATAGTCACTAAGACGATTCAAGTATTTAATAACACTGTCTTCAACCGATGGGTATTCACGTTCAAAATTCATGTGTATCACAAATCGTTCAGCACGTCGGCATACAGCTCTTGCATAGTGTAGAGAACAGCCAGGTGTTCCACCTGAAGGTAAAATAAATTGTTTCAATGGAGGTAAAGCCTCAGTTAACTGATCAATCCACTGCTCTAGCTCACTGGATACAATACTCTCTGGAAAATTTACATATTCATAACGTTTTGACCGTGGTAGTACAATGCCTTCTTCATGTGAATGATAGAGCGGTGTAGCGATTGCAGATGATAAGCTTGTAGACGACTTTGTATGTGTTCTAAGTGTTGTAAAATAATGCTCACATCATATTGAGGAAGTTGTTTGACCAGTATCAGGTGATTATCAATGTGAGCGGATGCTAGGCCTAGACAGCAGGATAGCTCATCAATTGTCCCTAGGGCATGAAAAACAGTGTTATTTTTTGGACGACGTTCACCAGTTAACAGACTACTTGTTCCATTGTCACCTGTTCTAGTATAGATTTTCATTGATCGCTTTGAGATATAAGTCACAGTGTGGATATTTCTGTTAACAACATTATGACTGTGAAATTAAAAAATAGAAAAACTTTTCAATAAATTGGGAAAAAACACCTTAACACAACGATTTACTGCTTACTACAATAAAAAACTAAATCACTACAAAAGATCAATACTTGAAAATTAATCTGATGCTCACTAGCGACTGGCCTTATTCGGGTAGGTAGTTACCTAGACTGGTTCTAGTGGGAAGCCATGACCAGTAGGGTACAGCAGGTTGAAGATGAGGCAGTAACTCATCGAAGACATTGCGAAATGGTCCGCTATGTCGTGAATTGGCAGAAGTTAGAATTCATGGGCCATTGGGTCGAGTTCCAAAGGCTCAGTGGTCTACGAGCTAGCTCGCCTTGGAACCGGAAGGTCCTGGTTCGAACCCCCGTGGTGCGGTGTGTGCGTACTGATGAAGAGTACCAAACTAGTACGAGGGAAACAGCTGTCCAGTACTCCTGGCCGATTTTCCAATGGTTCTCTAACTGATGTCAGCTCATGATGAAATCCTCCATCCAGTGGAAAAGGACTTTTTTAAGAAATAAAAGCTACAAATGAAAGTGAATTACATTCTCTGTAACTGGCGATTGTGAACGCACCCGCCCCCCCCCTGTGTACTTGGTCTACCGAGGGAAAGAGTTCTCGACTGGTTGTGTCGCAGGATGACACTGCATGCTGGTCTCCTGAAAACCAATACCCAATCAATAGGTGTACTATGTGTACTTTTGGATTTCCACCGCGTTTTATAGATAAGAATATACATTCAAATCCTATAAAACGTGACTTATCAACCTTACCCGAGAAAATACTTTACATGAGCTTGGAATTCAAAGGAGATTTAGCTTCCGATATCACAGTCCCTGAAAAGAACATTCCCTGCTGCATCCCTGAGAATAGCCTTTACTAGCCGACCATTATTTTTCAATAACCTGAAGGACAAGTTTACGCTGTTGACCAACTCTATGTGTGTTTATCAATTCACCTGCTCGTGTGGAGTTAGGTATATCGGTCGTTCGACTCGAGTTTTGTTCAAGGGGGAGTAAGAACACTATCCTACATGGTAGTTACGAAGAGGTGGAAGTGGAGCAATAAGTCGCGCGATCATTGAAAATCTGGTCGATAATGATCAACCTATCTCTATAGCCTTCGTCTTTAAAGTCTTCTACAAGGTAAAGAGTAATTTACCCAAATCCCTACGTACCCGACTCATCTGTATTGCTGAAGCTTTGGCTATCGAAACAGAAAAGCCAGATCTCTGTGTACAGAAAAAGTTCGTTCAACCCCTCCAACTTTCATGGTCTTAATCCCTCTATGGCTAAATATGATAATCCCCAATCATATTTTAACTCTACCAATTTTTCATTTTGTCTATTCAATTTGTATATTCTTCCTTATTACGTCACTTTGAACTGTCCCCGGTATTATTTCACTTGTTCCACTTGTCATTCTAAATCAGTTTGTTTCTACAACGTTAAATTCTATGCTATTAAATTTCACACAATATCAAGTAACGTTTTTATTTTATTTGATTTGTCTACTAATCCTTGTAATTGCACGCCCTTTTTCAAGTTCTATCCATCCTATGAATTATTCTATGTGTATGACATTAATTGTTTTGCCACTTGACATTTAACTATGATTATATTCACAAACATTTTAGTTTTAATTGCATTTCATACCACTATTATTATTATTTTATGCATTCACACGTATGATTCAATTCCCACACCGGATACAACTTCTTGATATAAACACCATATATACACGATTGTACAGCTTGATAAAAAATTCGTTGTTGAAAAGAGTCTCTTCGCTGAATCATCACTTGCTTTTGATTTTCTATTTGTTACAATGGGAATTTCCCATGAGTTACTTTTGTAGTGTCGTCTAATAGAGCAGTCTACGCTCTAGTGTTGATTTACAGAGATTTCATTGGTTTCAAAATAGATCATAAACCCGATAACAGTTTAAAGAATCATTGAAGATGAAGAAAAATGCGACAGTTAGCTTGTTGTTTCTTGTTTGGGACTAATCCAACGAATATGTAGGACAAAATGGAGATAAATAGGACATACGCTGAGGGGACCGTTGGGTGATATCGCGCGCTAGGCCACTACTGCTTGAGTGGAACCCGAATGAGAAACGATGAGTCGGACATGAGTCCAAGGGTAACATCGAGGAGGTGTCGTGTGAGGAGGAGATGAGAGACTATGGGCGATTGTGGAGCTAGCTTAGTACCTTTTTCTACATGACTGGTAGTTTTGCAAATCACATCTTGCATTCGACAATGATATATACGAAACGGGATGGAGGAACTATGCTTGATTGATGAACTTTGATCACCGTGTACAACTTAAACCCTTCACTGGTCATTAATCGGCGGATTGGCGATGAAATCTCAGCACGGATCCGAAAAACTCGAGCTGCTTTCGCTGACTTACACCATCTCTGGCGTAGGCGTGACATCCGGTTATCAACCAAGGGACGTGTGTACTGCTCATCAGTTCGCTCCATCCTTCTCTATGGCTCTGAAACATGGCCAATACGCGTTGAAGACATGAAAAGGTTGACTGCTTTTGATCATAGATGTCTGCGATCTCTGTCTCACGTTAGGTGGTTTCACAAGGTAAGTAATGTTGACGTTAGGCGTAGAGTGTTGGGCAAAGAGGGAAAATCAATCGACGAGGCTATAAAGTTACATAGACTAAGATGGCTAGGTCACGTGCTGCGCATGCCTAACCACCGCCTCCCCCGACGGGCTTTGCTAGCTGATATAGGTTCAGGTTGGAAAAGAGCCAGTGGTGGCCAAACAAAAACATGACATCAATCCATGAAATCCTTGACAGTTAAACTGAGTCGGTCAGGTAGGGAGATGGAGACTTCCGGGTCGGGGCCCTCGGGACTCTAGGAATCAATGGCTGGAGACAATAGGTGACATGGCTCAAAATCGTTGTCAATGGCCAGCGGAGATGTATTCAGTCTCTGTAATCTTTCATAGTCCTTCCTACCATTACCCATTCTGTTTCACTCTTATACTGGTCAGACTGTATTGATTCTCTCCACTCATCTTCTTGTCTACCTCTGTGTGCTATTTGGAACGTGGCAACTCGAACTGGTGCACTTCGGTGCCAAGTTCTATGTTGAATCCAGACAGACAGACAGAATCGGTGGATTGTTCGTGAACAAAATATTCCAACAATAAATGACTGGTGAAGTAAAACACACTATTTATGGTTATGGTGCAGGTTTAAAAACCTGGGGGAAAAACATATACCACCAAGCACAAAATCTAGATCTACAGCTTTGAAACAAAAGACACTGAAAACTCTACGCTGAAGACTGTTCTTGACTCAGTGATTTCCTCGGTAAAACTCAATCAATACCAAGGAAATACTGACTGACTCACTCAGTGCACAGATGTGCACCAGCTCGAGTTGCCACACTTCACCAGTTCGCACAGGCCGTATGTGACAGGCCTCAATCAGTTGTCCCCTAGGCTCTGCGGTCACGCAACACCAATTCTCCATTATAAATAAGATTTATTTTAATAAATCACACAGTGTTGTTGTACAGTAGTATTAACTGATGACCACGTTTCGAGCACAAACTATTGCCACTCATAATCATATCAAGGCATTACTCACACAACTTTTTTCCTTCATTTATATACATTATACATTAGATATTGGAATAAAAATCAATACAGGATAATGCATATTCAGAAATAATAATAATATGAGTGTTATTGATCAATTACAATCAGATGGGAAATAAAACGAGTGTTTTTATATTAAGAAGACAGTTGCAGCGAAGAAAATTTTCTTTTCGACGAAGTCATCATCTAGCCTGTACATTCGTGTATTGGTGTCAAATGGGTGGGAAAGTTCCAGAATAATTTCCAGTCAAGTGTCAAATTAATAAAATTACAATTAGGAATGCTATAAAATGCCATAATAAACAGGGTGGGGGACGGATAAAACTCAAACAAAGTAGCATCATAATAACTAAGAAGATTGACATTGTGCAGTTAGGGGTTAGAAATGTAGAAATAAGAACAACAGACAGGATGTTTGGATAAAAACTAATGTGATGAATAACTGTTTATGCAATCAGGGATTAAATATGTAGAAATAGTAAAATGACAGAATAAACATGAAGTTCGGGTATGAAAATATGGTAGTGTAAACAGGGATTGAGAGAAACTTTAAAAAATAACATGAATGAACAGGAAGTTTAGATAAAAAAGGCGATGGGATGGTCATTACTAAAAGAATTACTTGTTTATGATGGCCATGGCAGGGGCACGGGTTGGATATATTTCTTTTGAATACAAAGCGTGGGTTTGAGCTTTTGGATAGCTGGCGTCCCAGCTATGCCCAGATGTCTTAATTTCACTCCCTTTGATAGGTTTGATTGAATCTTCCATACTACTTTGAAGGATTTTTCGAAAGGCGCTGAGTGTACTGAATTAACCAGATGTTTTGTCACTGAACTGTATACACGTTTTTGGTCTCCTTTTACTAGCCAGGCTGGGTAGTGTTAACGAGTGCGTTTTTCAAGTCGGCGCATGGTACGGCCAACGTACTCAGCTCCACAAGAGCAAGTAAACTGTTTTTATATTCATAATAAGTTACTTGTTAGAATGTTGTGATGTGTTTGAATTGATAAAATAGAATTTTAAGATTATTTATTAAGGTTTATTTATCCTCCTGTGATTTGACTGACTGATGGTAATAATACCTCCCACATCTCTGGTATTTGCATTGAGTCATTTCTGTTGCATGTGTTGGGTGTAGACTCCATGAACAAGGATTCAAACCTACAAACTCACTCAGGGACAAGCTCTGTGGGTTAAAGGACCCTGTCCGTCGACCCAATTAGACAAAATAATATAATTTACAAAATACCTTGCAATGACTGTAATTGAGGCCGACAACATAGGTCAAACTAGTAGGCCGGGGGTAATCAGATTGTCAGAACATAAGAATTTAGCTAAGGTTAGAATGATTGACCCCGAGAAGATGAGTAATTTAGAAAAAAGCTCAGCAAGTGCACTGCATGCATTAACACACAACCACACAATAGGGTAGGAGAGGGTTAAAAATCTAAGAAGTAATCTATGCCGGTGGAGAGAGAGATTGATTACTCAATCCTGGTTCGTTGAGTCTATCGACACAACACATGCAATAGAAGTGACTCAACGCAAATAGCAGAAATATGTGTGGAAGATATTACCACCAGTCAGTCAAATCAGAAGAGGATAATAAATAATCTTAAAATTCTATTTAAATTCAAGCACATCACAACATTCTCACAGGTTACTTATTTTGACTATAAAAACATCTTATTTCCCTTCCCATTTGACTGTATTTGATTGATAACACTAATATTATTATTTCCTAATGTACATTATCCTATACTGATTTTTCTTTAAATATCTAGTCAAATCCACACACGTATATAAATGAAGGAAAAAAGTTGTGTGAATAATGTCTTGATATGATTATGAGTGGCAATAGTTTGTGCTCGAAACGTGGTCATCAGTTAATACTACTGTACAACACTGTGTGATTTATCAAAATAAAATCTTATCCATTATGGAGTTATGCTCTATCACAGTGCCCAAGTTTTATACTTATATCAACAACACTAATTCTATTTCTCTTCCACGTACCCAAAGAAAAAATCGATTTCCACGGTGTGGACAACCGAGAAGTAACAACCACACCCCCCCTGCTACACTTCCAAAAGCACCAAGGATATATAAGATATACTTCGTCTATGGATTAAAAACTGTTGACAAATAAAGTTAAATTAGCTGATCATAACGTTAAAGCACTACCTAAATAATTCATAATTTTATTTAGACAACTTACCCAATATACAAAGGTTTTAAGTAGGTCAGTGGATCTTTTAGCACAATTTTCAAATTCCTTGGGATGAAAGGTACAAGACGCTGCATATTTTTTGAGATTTCAAGTTCACAATGTCGAAGCAGTAATAAAATCCCTCCGAAAGATTAGACGTCCAGGTAGGTTTGTATCGATTTCACTGAATCTTTATAAAACTGTAGGAGATAAGCAAAAATATGATATAAACCCCATTTGAGAAGTTATCACTCCTATTCAAAAAAAATTAAAATCTAAGGAATTATTTCAAATCGATGTTTGTGAATAGCATCAAGGAAAGTACACATGAAATATCAAAGGCTGGCGTCAGTGGTATAGCGGTTAGGACTCTCGCCGACCATGCACATGGTCTGGGGTTCGATCACCGGCCACCGACGCACTCCTTTACCTCGTTAAACCAGAAATAATGCAGGTAAAGAGAAAAGGTTGGGCATGAGGCTGGTTAGCAACCCTATCCTGTAAAATAAACACTGCTACAGAAACTTCAAGCCACTAGCTTGAAGCCCTATGTTTCACTGGGGAACGTGAAGCAAAAAACATCAAAGACTAGCAGTCTTTGATCATAGGCGTCTGTGTTTTGTCTCCCATGTGAAGTGGTACAACAGGGTGAGCAATATTGAGGTGAGGCTTCGGTCGAGTGCTAGGTAAGGAGGGTAAATCAATCGACGAAGCTGTGAAGTTACATTGACTGAGATGGTTAGGATATGTGTTACGGATGCCTAGTCATCGTCTTCCTCGACAATGGGCACTGTTAGCTGACATAGGGTCAGAGACTGGAAAAGAGCCAGCGGCTGGTGGTCAAACCAAAACATGGCTCCATCAGTCAATGAAATCCACAACAGTTAGTTTAAGCCAGTCACGTAGGAAGGTGTAGACTGGCTTCCTGGTTGGGGTCCTCGGGAAGGTAAAAACCAATGGCTGGTGACAACTGATGATATGGCTCAAACTCATCATCCTCAATGGCTGGCGGAGATGTATCCACTTCTTGTGACTTATGATTTCCAATGAAACTGTTTTGTTCTTCGTTTTTACTATTCCTTTGTCTCACACCTCTGTTTACTGTCCCTATTATGCATTACTTCTACTTTCTTCTCTTGCTTTGTGTGCTACATGGAGTGTGGTGACTTGAACTGGTGCACATCGGTGCAAAGTTCTATGTCGAAAACAGGCAGACAGATATGTCAAATACATTGTGAAGCCAACTACATTGTGACATTTTATGAGATATGCAAGTGGGAAAAAACTTATCAAAATACAAAGTTAGTAAAAACAATTATGGTGAATTTAAGGTGTTCGCTTAACGAGTAACAAAAAGATACAGATGTTGGTTCTCGAGAGAATAATGGATTATTCGGCGTAACTAAATCATGCATTAACAGGACGTGGACCTCAGACGATAAAGAGCACTAAAGGCACCGTTCGTAAGATCAGCCAAACTAAGTAAAACAAACAGCAATCTAAACGCGTCTCCGAACATCTCCGAAACTGAAGGCGACTTATCCAAAACAATGCGATATCGGCACACATAACGCGTTTCGCCTTCGGTCACGCCAGGCAAACACACAATCAATGACCGAGAATGACGACTTAAATAAGGACTCAAATAAGCCACGATCTGAGAATTGAAGATACCGTTGGCTTCTGTCAACGCACGTTATTCGATGACCAGTTCTGATACGTTACAGTCAATTAACTTTTATTCAACGACCACTAACTTCCAGTGAATGTCGATTAAAAATAAAAACTCATTATTGTGCAGTTTAACTTAACAAATCCCACCGTATCACATTGGTGCTCAGTTTCATTAAAAATCGATTTCACTCTGACGAGAAAAACAACCAGGAGAGAAGAGGTTTACCAGTCCTAATTAACTGGACTCCCTCCTTTAATGGTATTCAGGAAGCTGCCCAATTCTATTGCCAGATCAAGAAAAGCAAAGCGCATTTTTCTTATCTCGGATGACTGTTAGTTTCGCGCAGGCATAAACGTATTCCACTGTACATAAGCCAAATTTAGAAAGGTGAATCATGCATGTAAAAGCTTGGGAAGTGACAATTCAAAGCTTTAAAGACCGAATTCAAATTCAGATTACAAGAATAGAAGGCTCTTGTTGCCTATATCAAACCTTCCGAAATATATCTCTGCAGAGATCCAGTTTCTCTTTGAAAGCGTTCACCGATGGAGCTGTTACCACTGAATCAGGTAAGAAGTCCCAGTTGTTGACCACTCTGTGAGAGAATCTAAACTCCAACCGTATTTTATTGGACCTTGGGGTTTGAGCACCTTCTTTTGGTGATCCCGTAAATGTATCCTAGAGGGAGAGAAAAGGTTTGAAAGGTCAATCCTTTAATCACCCTTGAATATACGGTAAGCCAAAATTAAGTCGCCTCTCCTCCTTAGGTATGATAATGGGAAGAGATTCAAATCCTCCATCCTCATGTCACAAGGAAGGTGTGAGGTACCACTAACTAATTTCGATCCTACCCTCTGTACTCCTTCCAAGGTATGTGCCACCCTTTTGAAACATGGACTTGCCGCTTGTATGCAGTACTGTAGATGAGGCCTAACATGTTGCATTGAATACTTGGAACATACCCTCATCTAATCGTTGAAAAGCCCTTCCAAGTGCTCATATAAATTCGAAAAGCCTTAGCTGCAGATCGATTACAGTTTGCCGTTGTTGTTCCTTTTGTTCCCTAACATCTGGGAGTTCTGTGTCTCCCATGGAGTACGATGTGTAAGACTTCTAACCTAGGTGCATTACCGCGCTTTTCTTGGAATTCATTTCCAGACTCCAAAGGCTAGTCCATTCGTCTAATTTGTCTAGATGGTTTTGTAGAACCAACCTATCATTATGTTCATTATGAACAATAAATTTTGTTCGAATTGTCATCCAGTAAATAATACTGTTTCACTGTGTGATATATCTAATAAACAAACTAATATGGAATTACAATGATTTCGAACTTAGCGGTATTCCATCCGAAACTCATCCTTCCCAGTCACAGCAAACCGGCGCCATAAGTTCTTTCGTTTTCTTAGTAACCTCCTTATTTCATTGCTAATCCAAGGTGGTTTATGAGATAGTTTTCGAGGCGTAGACCAAGGTACAAAGGGTGCAGTGACGCACTCTAGTGTGTTCCTAAATCCCATCCAAGCCTCCTCGACAGTCTGGTGTGTATTAACAGACCAGTGAGCTAGGGTTGGTGCACTTCGAATTGCAGGTATATAAGGTTTCCGAACGTTTGGGCGAACAGCTGCTGACCTATGTATGACAGCCTGAATCCTAAACATAAAAGTGATAACTATATGGTCACTACTGCCTAGCGGCGCTAGGCACCTAATGTCACCGAAATCCTCCTTCTGGTATGCTAGTACCACGTTCCAACGTTCCACTCAATCAATCGTTACAGACGTATTACACTGCTCTCATGCATATGCGGGGCCTTACATACACACTCCATATAGGTCACCCGGTCGACATGGCGTCGCATCAGACGTGATCATCATTCCCATTCCTCAAGAGCAGTGTAATATCACAAAACATACCGCCCAAGCCGTTATTTTAGAATAATTTTTTTTGGGTTTTCTAATGCTTTTGTAACTTTTGTTGTTGCTGTTGCTTTTTTATTATTTATAAATGAAAGGGATAAAGAAAGGGGTTGAGATAGAGGTGAAGTCAGATGTGTCTAGTAATCAACCATACTTTACTAATGCTAAGCTTTATTTATTAACGGGAATTTTGAGCGGTTGCTCTGTCTGTTGGTTACTTTTGCACATAAGTGTCGTAGCATGTTAGCGAGCCTATGATCGTTTGTTCACACAGGCAGCTGATTCTGGGAATTCTAGGAATTTTGAGGAGTTCCCTAAGTGCCTGCCTTTTCCGTCTCTGAGAACATTATACCCCGAATCGCATACTAATAATTACCGGGATATAAGTTACAACATTATCTGTATAATAACCTCTCTTTCCTATTTCCTCCATATATATATATATATATATATATATCGGGTAGTTAACTCATTTGTGTCATATTTTCTAATCTTACCATTCCAGGATGATTTCAGTCTGTGGTCAGCACAAATTTTGACATCTAGTATGTATGTCTTACCGTGCTTATGTGCTATTCTGTCGGGTTTGCAGTATGTTTTCCCCTTTTTGATCTTAGCTTCCATAATTGTCTGGTATCCGCGTCTATTTAGGATACCACCCATTAAACTATTCAGTACTCGGTTATGCCTACGTGTAGTTAAATCATTCCCGAACACGATGAAAACGAAAAATTTTCGAAAATGAGTTAAGAATGTGGACGGTAACAAAGGGAAAAAGTACACCCAAGCCGCCGCCATTAAAAGACTGACTAAAAAACATGTAAAGAACGGCTAAAGAATAACACGAAAAAGGGGGCGTCTGAAATTCTCTCAGGTCGATGGAGGGGCGCCTACAAATCCTTACCCCCGCTACCTAAAAATGGTACAGAATACTAGGGTAACATGCGTCGGTGGCACAGTGGTTAGGACTCTCGCCGATCATGTACATGGTCCGGGGTTTGAGCCCTCGCCGACGCACACCTGATATCTATGGTCGGCCTGCGAATTTTGGGCTACCAATATCCACGCTGAAAATTCCATACTTGTACCAAAAATACGGTGTGAAATCAAGCTGCAATCAAAAATAAAAAAATAAATAAAATAAAAACAATCTCCTTTTCGAACCGCGCGCGCCGGGAATCTTTTCTGTATATAATATTCCGTTTAGGAATACCCGGACACAACCTACAGCAGTAGCACTCCACCTGTATCACTCTTGACAAACTTGTATCATCAAGACGCATTATATCACAATTGCTGGGACTTTCCAAACCAAACACTTGCCTCAGAACTTACGAACTAAGCAGAAACCGGAACGAAATGATACAAACCGCGACCGAATTAAAGGTCGTATATGGACTATTGACAGTTACAAACGGACAAGTACAAATAACCCCTATTCTACAAGTTTCCTAAATTTGGTAGTATTCAGATGTTGCTTTTTGAATAACTGGTAAAGTCA